CCTATTTTCATGATTATGCATAATATATTATTATAATATTTACTGTAGGAAAAAAGTTTAGGGACAATTTTGCAGTAAACTCGAAGCATTATAAATAACGTGCCAAGATTCTTCAATACACTCAATTAATCGCTGAATTTAAGCTAAAATAGCTTAACTTTTATGATATTCTTAATTTCATGATCCAGCTTTTGACTGCAAATAAAATTTTATACTTCGCTTCAAAAAAGTTTTGATACACTGAAAATAATTTTAACCCTTAAAGGACCAGTGATTGTTTATCAAACAAAAGTTCTACATAGTATGCAGGCGAAATAAATCTTAAAAAACTATTTTCCATGTTAAATCAATGGGAAGACTTTAAATTCGATGATGACGTTTTAAAATTAATATTAAGAATTTTTTTAGCATAAGTGACGAGAACATCACATGAATTTGAAGAAAAAAAATATTGCCTTATTTTGAAACACCCTAATATACATGTATGAATGTATACAATTAATAATATAATTACTTACTTGTGCTGATTCTTCAACGCCCAGAACAAACTGCTGGACCTAAAGGGCTAAAATTCTGACACTACATTCCTATAGTGATCCATCCCCAAGGGGGTAAATTGGAACACTCCATAATTCAGTTTTAATCCCGGCGAATTCGCCATTTTAAAAAGTATTTAACGGATTAACAGATTTTAATAAAATTAAGTATAAAGGGGGGCACAAGTATGTTGGTGCTAAAATAAACGGTAAAAGCGTCGTCCCTGCCATTACTAGCGATGCAACTTCTTTTAAAATACGGGACAGGACCGGAGCTATTTTTTCGTGCATACATTGAAAGCACAAAGGCATTGCATACCCTGGCGTTTTGACATTTTTTTTAAATTTTCCCATTTAATTTTAATTAATAATAATAATAAATTTATTTGTTGTTAGAATGTACATACATTTTATAGTTTTACCAAAGATTAAATATACTTTTTCTAAGAGTATATTTAATCTTTTATTTTAATAAATATAGACATATGTCTATATATCTATATAATAATACTTATGTATGTATTTTCACAACAAAAGGGTCTAAAAAGAAGCAAAGCTGATATTTATATTTTAGACCAAAAAAAAAGAAAACTTAAACTAATTATAATCAATAGCTTGCAGCAAATATTAAAAAGGAGGGTTAATAATATATATATATTAGACTGGTTCAAAAAAATCGAATATTTTTTTTTCTTCAAAGCCCGCATTAAAATATCTTCCTAGTAGTAAAAAAAGAAGCCTGTGAAAATTGTAGCTCTTAATATTAATATTTAGAGGTCGCTCATCGTGAATTTCTATTTTACGTTTAAATAACACAGGAATTCTTTTTTCTTAACTTTGAAATTTTATAACTCGTTTTTGAGTGAACATATTGAAATGAACTGTATATATAAGAAAATTGAACGTTCTACAAAAAATGTCTCTTATAATTTTTTCGTAAATTCACTCCTTTAATAGTTATTCAAGGTTGAAATTAGACATATAATAAATGTAACGTTTAAATAACAGGAATTTTTTTTAACTTTTAATTTTATAACTTTTTTTTTGAGTGGACATATTGGAACAAGCGATAATTTTTTTTAAAGAAACATAATTTATATAAAATTTTCAAAAAAGATTATACAGGGCGGTCCAGTTTGTGATACATTAATTTTAAGTTAGACTTTCATTAATTAACATTTCTCAAAAATGTTTCCTAAGGAAAATACAGGTCGTCAAAGATTACAAAAAAACTAGTTTTCTCTTTATAACTTTTAAACCACAACATTAATTTTCATCAGATTTGGCACAAAATGTAAAATAGTCAGTGCCTTAATAATAATGTGGAGGGACTTCTCCCCTTTTCACCTCAGTCTTTGACGCCACTAAAATATTAAATAAATTTGTAGGTCAAGTTTTTAATTTAGAGAAATAATTTACTCCTGTAAAATTTTGATTTGGGTCTTTGTTTCTGAAATATTTGCTCAAAAATGTTTCCTCGCAGAGACGCTTTCCGTCAAAGTTTATAAAAAAAACTCGTTTCCCCATCATAAGTTCTAAACCACTTGGTCAATTTTTATCAAATTTTGTACACAATATAGTCAATGTCTTAGTAATGATGTGGATAATTATTTAAAAAACATCAGTTGCGCAGTTACTTGGGGGTCTGCTCATCTTTTCACCTTAGGCGCCACTGGAACTTTTTTTAATAATAAACACATTTTTAGATTATCTGTTTAATTTAGAGAAAAAAAACTACTCATGTAAAATTTTGATTTAGTGCTTCATTTTTTAAATAATTAATTTATTTATCCAAGAATACTTTTGCCGCAGTTTTTTTGGAGTGTGTTCCCAAATATTTTAAAAACAAAGCACTAAATTAAAATTTTAGCACAGTAGTTTTTTTTTCTCTAAATTGAACAGACAATCTAAAAATGTAATTTTGCGAGGAATCATTTTTTCATTAATTAAAAACTTGACCTAAACATTTATTTATTATTTTAAAATTTCCAGTGGCGTCAAAGACTGAGGTGAAAAGGGGAGCAGCCCCCCAAGTAACTGCGGCACTGATTATCTACATTATTATTAAGGCACTGACTATATTACATTCTGTGCCAAATTAATTTTGTGGTTTAAAAGTTATGAAGAACTACTTATAAAATTAATATGGTTTTGACGGTACCAGTTATAAAACTGTTTTGTTAAACTATGATACAGTATTATATTTAATAAATAAATAAATAAAAAAAATAAAAGAGAAAAATATTTTTTTTTAAGAAAATTTTTGATGCTTTATCACCTATTAAAATTAATGTATTACAAACTGGACCATCCTGTACAATAATGAGTGATAAGGTTTATTATTAAGCCACCAATTGAAAAAAAAACGTTAAATTTATGTCTAATTTCAACCTTGAATAACTATAAAAGAAGTAAATTTATGAAAAAATTATAAGAGACATTTTTTGTAGAGCGTTTAATTTTCTTTAAAAATATGTATCGCTTATTCCAATATGTTCACTCAAAAACGAGTTATAAAATTTCAAAGTTAAGAAAAAAGAATTCCTGTGTTATTTAAACGTAAAATAGAAATTCACGATGAGCGACCTCTAAATATTAATATTAAGAGCTACAATTTTCACAGGCTTCTTTTTTCACTACTAGGAAGATATTTCAATGCGGGTTTTGAAGAAAAAAAAATATTCGATTTTTTTGAACCAGTCTAATATATATATATATATATATATATATATGTGTGTATTAAGAGCGCAAAGTGATACATTGCCAATGCAATAAAATTTGAAATTTGTTTATATTATATTTATTGGGGGCGCCATGGGGCCGGTACGGCCGAGCAAAAATCTATCTTTTTTTCGCAAACTTTAATTTAAATTCTGCTTGCGCAAAACTTATTTATTTAATGTCATTTCTAATAATTGAAATATCGGTTTACCCAAAATCCACCAGTCGCCACTGATTAAATAAGACTAATTTCAGTTTCCCTGTGAAATAGAAATAATACTAGAGTATTTTTTTCATAGAAAAAGAATATTATTATTTTTATGCCTATTCTTGTGTGAAAATTATTTTATTATCTTAATACAAAAATACAAAAGTATTACATAGTATCTTGACGCCAATATTTTAAAAAAATTATATGAACGTTTGTACTGACCTTTTGATTTGGCCGTAGTAGTGCAGTTAACTAGATTTAACTGATAAAGCATTACAAATTTTGCGTTCAGTGCCCATAAAACATTCTTTTGCCTTTTACTGTAAAAAAGTGCTTCTATATCGTTATTTATTTTTAGTCTATTTTCAAGAGATAAGTTTTGACTTACAAAAAAATTAAGATTTTAACGGTAACGGTAACGGTAACGGTAGATTCCCAAGTTAAAAATTCTAACGGGAATTCCAATAAATACAACTGTCACTTTTTGTACCTTAAACATTTCTCGTGTAAGAATTTTTATTACTTTGTCATAATATTTTGCAATTATAGTCATACAAAAATCAAAGGCTAAAATATGTATTTTCTTAACATAATCATATTTTGAAGTTATTTTAATATTTTAAAGTGTTAATAATTGTAGTTTAATTAAAATAATAACGGGCAATGTTAATGGTGAAAATTACGTCAAAAATGTTTATTGGGATGGTTAATTTAAATTATTTTTTAGATTATATTAAGTATTTGCCGTAGAAAAAGTATAGTTCATAAACTTTTCTAGGCACTCAGTTAAATTCGTGACTAAAATGGCGTTTATCTAAATTGGTAATTATAAACCTACTAATAAGAACCAAGAAGCTAAAGAGTTTCAAACCTCTGTAAAATGCAAATTAGGCTGACGCACAAAAACAAAGTGACCGCTCAGAAAAAAACTGAACCTCAAAAAAATTACTGAATAGGTACAGTGGCAGACACGGAATTTTTAACGTCATAATTTGGTTGACCATGTATAAATCTGTAAATAGCAAAGATACAATATTGACTTTTTTGCTTTTTCTGCCAAAATGACAAATCTAGTGATAACCAGAAGTAATTACCTTAAAGTTAAGTTAAGTCCATAAAGAAAGTCTCAACGGGATTATAGTCGTTCAAAATTTCCGTGTCCGCCACTGTATCTGTTTTTAACTGTCCCAGTATCAGGTAAAAAAAAATCAACATTTAAATTAGTGCGCGTGTAAATAAATGTTTACCTAAATTTTGATTTGTTTATGACGAAATAAATAATTGTCTGGAACGAGAACAAGAAAAACAAATAGAATGGAGAAGGTTCAACAAAAAAGGAAACAAGAACAGTCGCGAACAACAGGTGATTTTGAAAGAGCCACTATGACATGAAGAAAATCCGCTTAAATTTTAGGTTATAAAGTCGATATCGTATTCCCAGAGCTCAGGCGCGGCGAAGGCAGAACCTAGCATTTCAAGTAAAAGTACAAATGAAACGAAACACACGCTTAATTCAATTCAATCGATATTACCTTCGTGCCAAATGAATCCCAGTCGGTAGGAGCGCGTGCAATAAAGGGCTCATTAAGGCCAATCTGACTCTTCGTTTAGCATAGAGATTAAGTCGGAAAAAAATAATGTTAATTGGCAGGCAACACTACGTACAAACATACAACGCACTATTAATATAACATAAAACCACGTTCCACGGTCACGACGGCCAGTCAGTCGACCTATCCGCCGCCTCTACGTGACGGAGGCTAAAAAGTTTTTACCCGCTCGGTCTGGCGTCGACACGAGGAGCATCCTATTTATAAAAGGTGCGCGGAATTATTACTTACACATGCGAAACGGACAAGGTAGGTCAGTGGGGCCGTTTTTACCGCACCGACCGGTCTATTCGCTATCCGACCACTAACCTTAACCCTTTTCACTACTTTTACTATACAAATTCCTAGTTGTACGGTAGAAAATGTCGTCTATCGAAGTCAAAAGGATTTGTGGCCATGTTTGTTTTACCCTGTTGAAATTAGCTATTAGCTATTGCGCTTTTTTATAAAATATTGGTATTTAATTCAATAAATTACAAGTAGTATATTATTAGACCACAAAATCCCATTCCCTGCATATGTCAGGAATATTCCCAGGATTATTATAAGCGTAACAGAATATATTCCTGGGGTAATCAAATGTCCGCTTTTTGGTTAACCAAGTCATCATAAAAAGAATATTTCATGTAATGTCCCTTAATATAATTTAGGGATTACTCCTAGCTCTTATGGACACTTATACCCAGGAACCTAACTTAACTAACCATTATTATAATAAACTATAAACTATAGTTACTGAGTAGATCAGTCCCACTCTAATCATTGTTAAGCTGTGCCATCACAGACGCACATCTCCAACTAGAGGTGACGATAATATCGATATTTTATCGATACTATCGATTATTTGCTTTTTTAAATACTATCGAAACTATCGATATCGACTTCGATAATATCGATACCAAGGCTTTGTTATCTATGATCGATACTGATTACTGACAGCCAATATTGCCAGGTCTACTAATTTTTCAGTAGATCTACTAATTTTAATCAATTGACAGTCTAAAATTTAGTAAAAATCAGTAACGCCTGCAATATTAATAACATAATATATGCTTAGTTAAAAGTCTAAATATTATTTACAATTTTAACCAAGCAAATTTATCAGCCTACTGATTTCTACTGGCAGTGAATAAACATATTTGAGCTGGCAACACTGTTGACAGCCGGTATTATAGATATATTTCGTTTTTTTAAACTATCGATAATTTATCGATAGTTTTGATAATTACGACCATGATTATCGAAACTATCGATATTTTTTTTTCATCACTATCGTCACCTCTATTTCCAACTGATATTTTTAACCTATGGGTTTATATACTTTAAATCGTGCGTAAGCAACGGTGAGAGGTATATTGCAACTAAACTTATGATTATTCTCTGGGAATGTTCTTAGATGGTGCTTGGAAGTTTTAGAGGATCATTCTAGGAATATTCCCAATGAATATTCCTAGAATGAAGCGGATTATTCCTAGATGATAGGGTATATTCCTGGAATATAACCAATTTGTAGAAAGGGAAAATTATTTATTGTTTTTTGAATATAAAGAACATTTACTGGGAATGTTCCAAGATGTTGCTTGGAAGTTGTAGAGGATTATTCTATAAAATATTCCTAATGAATATTCACTGGGAATGTTCTTAGATGGTGCTTGGAAGTTTTAGAGGATTATGAAGCGGATTATTACTAGATTATAGGGCATATTCCTGGAATATAACCAATTTGTAGAAAGAGAAAATTATTTATTGTTTTTTGAATATAAAGAACATTCACTGAGAATGTTCCAAGATGTTGCTTGGAAGTAGTTTTAGTGGATTATTCTAGGAATATTCCCAATGAATATTCCTAGAATGAAGTGGATTATTCCTAGATGATATGGCATATTCCTGGAATGTAACCAATTTGTAGAAAGAGAAAATTATTTATTGTTTTTGAATATAAAGAACATTTACTGGGAATGTTCCAAGATGTTGCTTGGAAGTTGTAGAGGATTATTCTATGAAATATTCCCAATGAATATTCACTGGGAATGTTCTTAGATGGTGCTTGGAAGTTTTAGTTTTAGAGGATTATGAAGCGGATTATTCTTAGATTATTGGGCATATTCCTGGAATATAACCAATTTGTAGAAAGAGAAAATTATTTATTGTTTTTTGAATATAAAGAACATTCACTGGGAATGTTCCAAGATGTTGCTTGGAAGTAGTTTTAGTGGATTATTCTAGGAATATTCCTAATGAATATTCCTGGAATGAAGCGGATTATTTCTAGATGATATGGCATATTCCTGGAATATAACCAATTTGTAGAAAGAGAAAATTATTTATTGTTTTTTGAATATAAAGAACATTTACTGGAAATGTTCCAAGATGTTGCTTGGAAGTTGTAGAGGATTATTCTATGAAATATTCCCAATGAATATTCACTGGGAATGTTCTTAGATGGTGCATGGAAGTTTTAGAGGATTATGAAGCGGATTATTCCTAGATTATAGGGCATATTCCTGGAATATAACCAATTTGTAGAAAGAGAAAATTATTTATTGTTTTTTGAATATAAAGAACATTCACTGGGAATGTTCCAAGATGTTGCTTGGAAGTAGTTTTAGTGGATTATGCTAGGAATATTACTAATGAATATTCCTGGAACGAAGCGGATTATTTCTAGATGATAGGGTATATTCCTGGAATATAACCAATTTGTAGAAAGAGAAAATTATTTATTGTTTTTTGAATATAAAGAACATTTACTGGGAATGTTTCAAGATGTTGCTTGGAAGTTGTAGAGGATTATTCTATGAAATATTCCCAATGAATATTCACTGGGAATGTTCTTATAAGAACTATCTATAGATGGTGCTTGGAAGTTTTAGAGGATTATGAAGCGGATTATTCCTAGATTATAGGGCATATTCCTGGAATATAACCAATTTGTAGAAAGAGAAAATTATTTATTGTTTTTTGAATATAAAGAACATTCACTGGGAATGTTCCAAGATGTTGCTTGGAAGTAGTTTTAGTGGATTATTCTAGGAATATTCCTAATGAATATTCCTGGAATGAAGCGGATTATTTCTAGATGATATGGCATATTCCTGGAATATAACCAATTTGTAGAAAGAGAAAATTATTTATTGTTTTTTGAATATAAAGAACATTTACTGGGAATGTTCCAAGATGTTGCTTGGAAGTTGTAGAGGATTATTCTATGAAATATTCCCAATGAATATTCACTGGGAATGTTCTTAGATGGTGCTTGGAAGTTTTAGATGATCATTCTAGGAATATTCCTAGAATAAAGAGGATTATTCCTAGATGATAGGGCATATTCCTGGAATATTTTCGAACCTCCATTCAGCGAGTGCTTAATTAAATGAGTGCCTAGAAAAGTTTATAAACAAACTGCATACTATACTTTTCCTACGACAAATACTTAATATTATATAAAATACAAATACTTAATATTATCTAAAAAATGATTTAAATTAAATATTTGTATAAAGCGACACCTATACGAAAATAAAGTAACGATCTCAATAAACATTTTTAACGTAATTTTTACCATAACAATTGACGCGTTTCTCGGAAAAACATCATTAGTCCAAAATTAACATATTTGGGAAAATGAAAAAAACTTTCCGACATTCCCATTTTTGACCAAAGTTTTTTATTGACCTATTTACTACATGTAAAAAAATGTAAGATACTTTGTCCAGAATTCCTCATGTTTTTTTTTCAAACGAATATGAAAAAACACAAAAAATACATGAACATGTGAGGTTTTTAGAAGAAAAAAACGAACAATTCTCCTTACTACAAACACTACAAACTAAATATTAACTCTGAGCAACAAAATAAATGAAAAAACTAAAAACTGTATTATGGCCACACTCAGTATTCGCATCTACTGCTGTTATCATCGTTGTCGACCGTGTTATCAGGACTGTCAGGTGCTATGGTCTTCTGGTCTTTTATCAAGTTATCATAAAATTTTCTATTGCTGTGGTCATGTAAAAGAGGTAGAAGCTTTTCTAGAGTGTCCAAAAACGTCACATGTTATGCACATGTGACTTTCTTAGACGAAACGGAGCGGACTTGTGATGTTTTTAGAAGAACAAGCTAAATTTCATATTTAATTATTATGGAACCTATGACATTTTTACGAGAAACACTTATTTGTATACGTATATATTGTAAAGATTTCTCTTTACCCCAGGTTCGTTTAAAACAAGTTTTATGAAAAATTGATAAATTAAATATTTTGTGGCTTTGGCTCGTGATCGTCTTACCCAAATTTGGACCTCTACGCTGTGTTTACTTACTTGTTTTATTAGATGCATTGCTTTAAGAATGATACGTGGGAGAAATAGGTTTATAAGAAATAAAATACAGTGGCTTAATTTACCCCAATTTAATTTACGTTAACTTTTTACAAACAAGCAAGGGGTGGCTCTTAGGAGGGTTCGGCCAGGGAAAAAGAGCCTGAGAAAAAACCCTGGTCGGCTATGAAGTAGCAAAGGAATACGCGGTCAGGCATTGTACTTTAAAAATTACGCAAATTAATGTATTGGCGATATGGCTCGATACTGCATTTAAACAAACACTGAAAGAAATGTATGTTTCATATATGGACTACCACATACATTGCTAAAACAAACATATAATATATTTACCTTAACCATTTTTATATTTAGTTTTAACATATTATGTTAAAACTAAATATAATATATGTTTGTTTTAGCAATGTATGTGGTAGTCCATATATGAACCACAAAACATTGCTAAAACAAACATATATTTCTTTCAGTGAAGATTTAAAACTGAAGAATATTGGGGTTAGTTAGCCGGGCTAGGCCCAGAATGTAACGAGGTCCCAATATGGGAGGCAACCCGCCTAGTTTAGTTGAAGGGTCGGGGAAAAGCGAAGCAACCCTAGAGAACCTAGGGCAACCTTGTCCCCTCACGGGAGAAAAATATTAGTCCATACAACAAAGGCCCACGCACACAAACAAGGAGTACTCAAAGTTGGAACAATAACGGTCAGCACTCCTGCTTATAAGCACCGAGTAATTTCGCAATACATTAATAACTTTGGACTGATTATAAAACAATGCTTAACCACGTTATAGAAAAAG